CCCCAAAACCCCAAAACCCCAAAACCCCAAAACCCCATTCAATAATCAATTAATTGATAACAACTAGTAAGATGATGGAAACAGCGAAAGATTGCACCAACAGACTTGGAGCCCAAGCAGCATTATACATCCTATCTACATGCATAATAGCATACTGGTTTTACTTATTCATCGGTGTTGGATTTCTATTCGGAGTGAGCTTTGGGATCATCTCTTTACTCGTGTTCGAGTTCTACATTGCATACAAATTGTTCAACTATGAAGATTATCTCAAAACCTCAAAGGACATAGAAGATAATAGGCTATTCTGGAAATAAAAGACTTGAAGGATACCAAGAACTCATAGAAAAAGATATCTCAGAACTCGGAAAGTATAAAACCAAGCCTGAAATAAAAGAATCTTTAGCTATAAATACTGTGGAGTCACCCTTTGATGAGGAAACCAAAGAGCTTGAACAACCAGTCAGGACCCACAGTGAGAAAATGAAACAGAAGGTGATTGAGAAGTCGCTACATGAGCTTAACGACAAAAGTTCTGATATTATGCTAACTGCCAGTTATACTCCAGTTTCAAGAAAGGAGAATCTTAAAATAATGAATAAGATCCTCCACAAAAATGATGATCAAAATTTTGAGGTTCAGTTTCATTCTCGTTTGAACAAGTCAGATAGCTACTTGAAATACTTCATTGACTTCTACAGGAGGGTTACAGAAGTAGAATTTCAGATGAACTTTAAAAGTATAGTTGACCAAAAGACTAAATATTCTTTAACTAAGAAAAAGACTTTCCACATCTTCAAGAAGGACAATAAGTGGGTCCAGGTGCGATTCCTACTCAAGAATCTTGAGCATTTACACCAAGAGAATGCCATCTTTATTGAAAATGTAGCCAAAGGACAGCTTGAAGCCTTCCTTTCTGTTAAAAATGAGGAATTTCAAACTTGTCAACAAGATTATGATAATATCAAGAAAGACAAATATGACACTCTCACAAAAATAGAAGAGTATCAACTGAAATATTCTGAATCTAAATCTGAGCTTGAAGAGACTCTTCTTAAGTATGAGAAGATCAAGTCCAAAGGAAGTAATTCATACGATAAGATCCTTGAAATGGAGATGAAAGCCAAGCTTGCTCAAAAAACACTCCATGATCATAACTCGACAATAGTCGAGGCTAAAGAGAATGTCAAGGAGCTCAGTAACGAAATGGAGATTCTGAAGGAGACAATCCTGGCTAAACTCTCTTCTACTTATCAAGAGAAGCTAGAGACCTTCTCAAGTACCGTCCACAGTGTCATCGGGGCATATATTGACTGATTTACAGAGGCTGTTTCCGTTATCGAGCATGTATTATTCACTGATCAACAAGAATCATCTTTGACACAAACTGAAAGACCATCTATAGTTGCAAGAGGATTATCAAATATGAACAACCTGCTTAAATTTGCATCACCCATGGGCAAAGGCCATAGCTACGATGATTTGGTCCAAGAGGATACAGTCCAGACAAAATCGTCCATGATAATAAAATCAGATGCTTTCAAGAAGCTTCTCAAGGTAAGTGCTTCAACCTAACCATAGACCACGATTGAGGAAATCAATGTTGTCCTGAACGATATAGAAGAGGTAGATTATGTAATCCAAAACTGCACTTCCATCTTCCTAGACCAAAGTATGAGATATGAGAAACTGCACTCTTTCAAGAAGTCCTACTACGATGAGGAGACTAAGAAGAGCTTGGAATGAGTAAACGAAGTCTTCATTCACCTTTCACAGAGCTTTAAGAAATGGGGTAAGTCCTTTAGTTTCATAACTTTTAGAATCTCAGACAGATCTCAAGGCTGAAAACCATAAAATCGAGGAAAGAATTGGAGTAATAGCAAGAAAATGTGAACTAGAGTCCAAGCTTTTCAAGAATGAAGTCAAATGATACGAGAAAATTGAATCAAAAAGTTCGAAGCAGCGGACAGTCGAAGCGTTTAATGTTCTTCAGAATAAATATGACAAATTCAAGAACTGCTTCGTTGAGGCAATCGGTATTGTTCCCTCTCATTTTGCTTAGATATGATTAAAGAGCTGAAAGATGTAATGACAGAAAAGATAGACGACATGAGATATTCCTTTATAGACCAGCTTAAAGATTTCTATGAGCTTGAAATTTCAAAACTGAATCAAATTAGCCCAAAACCATTAAATTTTCAACAGATTTATGAAGAAAATAAACAGCTGGCTCAGTCTCTTCCTATCGTTGAAGAAGAGAAGGAAAAGAGGGGAAGGTACAACACAGAGTTAGATATTAGTGACCTCTCTCTCAACAGCGACGATCTTGAGGATGAAATCCCTAATAAAATGAAGGTCACTGATAGAGACAATGAAGAGGAGCAGAAGCTCTCTAGGTCTCTTAAGGAAACACCAAGAAAGATCTTGGACTTCAATGCTTCAAATATTGAAGAAATTAGCAGCACTAATTTTAATGATTCTATGCTTGAACTTTCCATGTCGAATGTAAAAAGGAAAGATTCATTCCAAGAAGATCAACCCAGCATGATCAGAGTTTCTAACTTGCCTAATGAGCAAAGTAAGTATCCAGCTGTAAAAACTATAGAAGCTACAACCAAAGTTCAGATCTTAGAAGTTGAAGAGGAAAAAGAAGAGGAATCGAAGCAGCTCATCAAAGTAGATGATACTATTGATTTCTCTGAAGAACGAATTAGTCCACCTGACGGGATTGAGACAGCACATTGGCTTAATCAGCTTGCTAAGGTGGTATACTCGTGGTATACAGATAAAAAATCTGAAGAGCTGAGTGATATTTTGTGTAAACAGCTACATAAAGTATACAATGATGATGAAAAGCCTGAGTTCATTGGTGAAATTAAAGTTCTTGAAGTCGCAATTGGAGGAAGTGCTCCTACATTCTTCTCATTCCAAAAACTTGAGTCGGAGCCTCACCAATTCTTAGGAGATGTTGACTTGTCATACAGAGGGACAGTAGACATTACTTTATCTACAGAAGTACATTTAAATTTCAGGAAAACTAATTACGCCTTGATTCCTATCACTCTTAAAGTGAGAGTTAAAGGTGTCACCGGCAAACTAAGAATATTCCTAACCCAGGACTTTGAAAGAATGAACTGGTATTCCTTTGTAGGACAACCAAAAATTAATTTTGAGATTGACTTGATCCTTGGAAAAGACAACAAGCTTTCATTTTCAATCTTCCCAAAGATCAAAAAATTTATTGAAGATGTATTCCAAAAGCAGTTATACAAGTTCGTACTTCCTAACAAAAAGAGGTTGGAGATGCCATTTTTCCCTGACAAAAAACTGCTTTACTAAATCACCATTAATCAACAACCAAATTATCTTTCATCTCCCAAACTACACCAAGGGGTTTTGGGGTTTTGGGGTTTTGGGG